GGAAACGGCGTTGGCACAAGTGCATTATGTCACAGGGGGAGTACTTTGAAGGGGATAAAATTGATTTACCTGAATAATTGTAAAATAAAATTTTTAAAAAACTTTTATACGTACTTTCCGGACAAACCTCGTACTATCTTCCTTGGCATACTTTTCAAGCTCAGCAGTCGTAGCTCTTTCTTTGTCTACGAAGTCTTTTTCGACGACATGTAGGAGACCATGACCTTTTAGAGCTAGTCTTATTTGAAATTTCCATGTGACCCAGTTGTGTTCATTTAGTGGTAAGACTTGAAACTTTGTAATTCCGTCCATGGCGATAACTCTAGTTTAATCTTTTTCACACTTATGAAGAACCCGGTGTCTAATCTTCAAAATAAAATATTTGTGATCGACGGTTAAGTGCGATTCACTCAGTACACGTAACGTTCTGCTACCACTTTATGATAAATAGAGTCCGTGTTATTTATTATGAAGATATTTAGGAAAAATAAGATTACGAATTGTTCAAAGGAAAAATAGACAGAATTTTATTTAGATACAGAATGACATCTATCGTAAGTATAACTAGCCAGTAACAGAAAGGTAACCATAGTTTCATCTACATAGGTTGATATGCTACAAAGTCTAACATATACCAGTTTTTAAGTTGCAATAAATCTATACATTACATTAAAATCTGCGCCATTTCTTGCGAGTAAATAGACATTCATTTATATTTTCTTTATATGAATGACTGTTCCACTATTTATTTGTAGTCTATTTGGCAAGCAATTGTGGAACAAAATATTCTGAGTACCTACGAATTTTTCGATTTTAATAATGTTATGAGTATATAATATGTAACAGTGTGTCATATAATCATTATATATATTTACTTTGATTGACTTAATTATACAATAGGTAGTAAACTTTAATTATTAAAATTTTCGAGTAAACGCTGCTTGCTTAGGTTCAATAAGTCTTCCGATGCTGTCAATAATGACCTTTTTCTGGCGAAGTTCGTAGCAGCTGGATATAATCTACACTTATTGGAATTTTTTGCCAGCTATTTGAGCGAATATAAGCAGTACGTAAAATATAAGATGCATTTTTATATTCCATGTACTGCAGTTTTCGTTATTGATGTTTGCAAAAAATCATATCAATATTTAGATTTTGTATTATGGCAAACGAATAGCTTTTAAAATATTGAGGTGAATTAATGTTTTTATAATGCAATACATAGTTAAGAGTAAACTTGAGAGATCTACCTTTATTTGTATTCCTTATAAAACTAAATAAAAGCGATAAGTTTAATGAAATATCTAGAGAATTCGATTTACATTTATTTAATTCTAAGATTTAATCTGCAATATGTGGACTGAGTCAGTGGTTCTTTGATAATTCATCTTTGAACATGTGAGTTCAACTTTTTATTTTACATAACTGCCTACCTACAATGTTTGTGCCTTTTACATCAGGTCTAATTTAGTTGATTGTACGTATTAGCTATATCATATGCATTTCATTAAATCTAGTTCTGTTGGTTTTTCATTAATGAAAATTAAATAAGTAATTATGTATTTATACATTGGATAAATTATGCAACAATTTTTTTAGATATTTAGATAGTACGATGTTTGTCTATTTTTCCCTCTACGTACTCTACTCTACCGTATCTAATCTAACTGTGTGATCCCGGCACAGAATAGGCCTCTCCTTTCTTACCTAGCAAAAAAAGGGTGGCATATTCTATGTCGGAACCATACGGTAATTGTTTGCAGTGGACAAGGTTACAGTTACAGTTGTAGGTTACAGCTATTAATATTTTGCATAAAGATTTTCAATAATGTGTGAGGTGTGCTTAATGTATTAGGTAGTTATAGTCTATAGGTCGGAGGTGGCAACTAGGTAGCGATGGCGTGATATTGCTTGTAAACACGCCAGGGAACAATCAATAAAGGGAGACCAGTATATCAAAATAGCGTCTGTTAGCGAAGATTATAGTTTTTTTTTTAATATATGTTTAAGGGGGATCTAGGCCGTACATACATACACATAGATAGATAAATAAGATAGATAGATAAATAATTTATTTGCATATAGTTAAGCAACTATCAGCTATAATGTAAAATGTTGGTCGGAAAAAAATAATTTACTTATGTCAAAAATAGTACGGCGTATATATCTTTAAAATTAATTGTGTGGATCCATAAAAATAAAAATATTGAGAATGAAATGAAAATTATTTTTTCGGAAGTCGCGTTAATAAAGAAATGTATTTTTTTTTGAATATTTGTTCGACTTCGTCCGCTTAACCGATGATTTGTTAATGGAATGGGATGAATAGTAGTTCATGTTTTCGTCCATGTCCATTTAGTCCATAAACAGCAACTTCGTACAGAAAAGCATAGCCTGGAATGACTCCCGCAAGATGGAGTCGTTGAATTATACTTCGTAGCGAAATATGAGGTAAACCTATGTTCAACAGGCGATAAGAAATTGTTAGTAGTGAGGACTACCAGTCCCATTGCTAGCAATTGCTAGAAGGTTGACCTGTCAGGTCAACCTTCACGTGGTCCCCCCTGGAAACCATCGTCCAGAATACTAGGTGTATTCATCAGGATAAGGTAACTGACCTGCCTTTTTATTCTCACCTATCATCTCTCACTGGTGCCCCGCCAGCGTATACCGTTAGGGTAGTATTCTATTATCATAAAAAAAAAAAACACGATGACAGTGATGATATATTTAGTTACATTAATATGTTAATTAAGTGATATACATGGATACAGATGTCATAGTTACAAATGTCACAGGTTTGTTTAACATACGAATATAGATTATACGGTACTATTTAATATAAGGATAATACACGCAAATGTCGTGACTTCTTAATTTTTTTGTATATCTATGAGAAAGAGAGTGGGGATATGTTCATATTTAGTTATTATGTATATGATGTATATATTAAATAATCAATTTAATATAAAAAATCGCGGGCACGCCTAGTCGTTGATAACATCAATAGAGCAAAATCGAATTAGGTCATGTGTAACTTCGTGGAATTAATTTCGCTGTTAATGTCTCCCTAGTGATGAATATTAGGTATTTAATATTGATTAAATCAAACTAATAAGCATATTAACATTTCAACACTGGCTACTAAGCCACACCTATTTGAATTAAATACAAGCTAATTTGTACTCTAGAAGGAAAACATACAAATATTGTCCAGAAACTGAGATACCTAACGTAAAGAGATGACAATAAATATGTGACAAATTCAAAGAGAACTAAATACAAAGGTTTCCGGAGGAAACCGTGTGGAGGTCGACCTGATGAATTACATTTTTAATAAAGAGGATTAATATTCCTATTACAAACAATCCCTATCCTCCCTGTTTATTGTGTTATCCATCTTAAATACCGTTAATCAAATTATATTAATAAAACATGAATGGGTTAATATAAAAAATGAAAAGTTCTTACATTTACATATAAACCAGATGTTCTATTTACGAGGTGCATGTGTTTAAAGATTATTTAGCCACATAGTTCATTTGTTAGTTAAGTAATAAGAATAAAAATTTGAAATGGACTTAAAAGTTTTTAATAAGCTCCGTGGCAACCTACATATATAGAGTTAATTTTTTTTGTTTATCTATTAATTGAAAAAAATAAATTGAGACTTTGTGTTTACAAAAGAAGCATTTAAAGTAAGTTATCTCGCATAAGGAAGTAAACAAGGAAGTTATTTATTTCATTAATACTAGTAGAGTATTAAGTTCTTTCAGTTGATTGCACGGTCTAACGATTTGTAGAGTTTCTTTTTAATGGATGATAATGGAATGGTAACCCCGCCTGCACTAACGGTATATGCCTGCGGGGCATCAAGTAAGTAAGGGATGATAGGTGAGAATGGAAAGGCAGGTTAGTTAGCCCGTTGTAATGAATACACCTGGAATTCAACACAATGGTTTCCAAGGGGGACCACGTGGAGGTCGACCTGATAGAGTATATCGCTAGTAATGGGACTGGTAGTCCGTATTACTAACAATCTCTTTTCCCCCATGTAGAGTTTATTAATTATGAGTAAATTCATCAAATTAAACATGGTTATAACCTATAATAATGGTATATGGTAATACCATGCAATGCGGAGTTATATTTTTTCACCTTTTATTTAGGCTAAACATTTCGTCGGCCGACTAACAAGCGCTATTGACATTTGCCTTTTATTTCTTCACCTACACTATTTATATATGGAATCGCTTTATATTTTCGATACTTGTAGTATATTAGTAGTTTAAGTCTTTTTTAAAGACATATTCTGATATTATCTAAATAAAATAAGAAACTAACTACCTCATTATTATCATTTCAACCGTTAACCGACCATTGCTGAACTTAAGCCTTCCCCGTATGGGCAGTTTTGCTAGTAATTGTCACATTTACTACTAATTACCTCAGATGAAAATGCTGACTCTGACTGGCTTACTGATATATTAAGTATAGAGCTTTCTTATATACTGTAAATGTAATAGGAGAAAATGTTTTTAGATATATCTCTTGTAAAAAGATAAATAGGTGAGTTCATTAAGCTATACTGTTTCTGTACAACTTACGTATATCGGTCGATATTTTGAACTTTACTCGATTAATATGGTGGTGTCGCACCTTCCGATTGTCGCGGCACATATCTCCGCACAAAACAACAATTTGTTTTCTATAAAATCCGACAGATTGACTCCATAGCCACCTGACGGTAACTGATTATGAAATCCATCTATGTAGGTCGCAAATCCAACGCGAGATTGCATCTAACTTGCGGCCCACACTATGCTAGTTTATTTAAACAATTTTTCACGCCTCTCTTGAAGGAATCATGAATATTTATTATATGTATTGTATATCTGTTTGTAAAAAATACTACATTGAGTATTCCATATATATGGATGGTACATAGTATGGATGTAGATACTTATACATTAAGTAGTAAATAATAATTTGATCATCACCTGGCCAGTGATGGTGAACAGCACAGCTAATAATATCCTGAGCGGTGTTCGTGCTCTGTACGCCCGATGTGACCACAGCCTGTGTACTCCTGCCGTTATTCCGAAACCCGAAGTGTAGATTGTCGCCAATGCTGGTGGATAAAATATAAGATATTACTTTTTGTTTTTTAAAAACCTTGCATTAGGGAATTTGAAAGATATTGATTTTAAAAAGTACACCTATTATGGATATACTTGTATTGGAAAAGGCTTTGTTTATGAAAAGAAATGTCTTTAATACTTATCTACTCGTGAACTCAACTTGAGGAGGGCTAATTAACTTATCATGATTATAATTAGATTATACATATATCTTAGGGCTCTCCCTATATAATGTTCATGAGACGATTTAAATAATTGCTTGAGAGAGGTCTTCGGTATTCCACTCTCTTTAACATCCCCGTATGAGTTCAGAAAACAGTATTCAGATAGTCTATGTATTTATCACTCTAAAATGCATTATTAATCATCGATGATAAAAAAAATTAACCAGAAATTTTATTATTTTGAAAATTTTAGCCATTTTTGATACTTAGACTGTAATATTTAGGATTTATTAGTTTTATGTTAATTTTTTAATTTGCAAGTGCTTTTCTTTGCGAATTCTTAAAATTATCTCATAATCTCAAAAGTAAGTTTGTTTTATCATACTTAGATTAAAACTGGCAATATAGTATATTCCATAACTAATATGACTGTAATTACTGTATGAGTATATGTCTTATATAAATCTTCATGTCATAAAAATAAGACTTTAAACAGTGTCATTACGCTAATATTGACATACTACGTGTATATAACATAAAAATGAAGAATATGTAAAGGTTAGATTTATAATTTGTTACCTAGGTAATAACTGTGGTTGATAATAGTTGAAAACTCCTTAAAATATGATACATGAATTAAAAGAAAAGCATATCTGTATTCAGATGAAAATTTTTTATTTTATTTTTATTAACTATCACGAATTTTTTGAAAAAATATTTCCGATATAAGTAGATATGTAACTGTATTAATTATTCCATTTAAAAAAATACCAAAAAACATTTCAAGTTTGTATTAGATTAGGCTTATGATAAGAAAGAAGTCAGATAGGTCATTAATTTCAATGGAAAAAGGCGTTGGAAAGTTTTTAATAAAATAAACCTCATAATGAGAGATAGTAGAATAATGGGAATTCCTTTGCCCCGAAGTAATAACGAAGATAAAAGAAATATTTTTTGGATAGAAAATCGTCGAGTCAAAGAATATTATTTTAGCTTCGTATTTAGTCTTATGTAACGTGCATAAGAGTTGCGCGATATGTTCGTTATTTTATAATCTAATTTGATAATTTATATTTTTGCAATTAATATATAATGTATATATATATGTGTATATAAATATATATATGTATATATATAATATGTATATATATATATATATAAATACTAGCTGACTCGGTAAATGCTGTTTCACCATATACATTATTTCTAGAACTATACACGAAAATATACTGTACTACAATTATTATATTCGATTGTCATCTTGTAAACTTATTGCGGCATATAAAAATTGCGATTAAACAACAGAGGTTGATTGTAAAAGCGTGAAAATTTGAATTTGTATGTATTTTTCAATGCTAAATCATAATAAAATAAAAATTAAAAAGAATTGTCAAAAAATAAAAAAAAAAATTAGGGGTAGGTCACAATCGGCCAACATCTATTTTTCATACCCCTCAATGATAGGGTCATTGAGAGGTATGAAAAATAAATGTTGGCCGATTCTCAGACCTACCCAATATGCACACAAAATTTCATAAAAATCGGTAAAGCCGTTTCGGAGGAGTTTGGTAACAAACACCATGACACGAGAATTTTATATATTAGAAATATATTCCCTCCAAAAGAGTACAGTAGTAAACTTAATAAAATAATTTTAAAAAGTAAGAAAACGTCACACTGAGAAAAATATGTACAGCCCTATTGTTATAAAAGCGATCTCTTTCAGGCAACCATTGGTTGCAGAGGAATAATTAATAATAATATAGAACTTATATGGAAGTAAATCCCATATATAAAATAAAAAAAAATCTCTTATTTTATTTGTAAACATTATCGAAAATTCTACACAATGTATATAGATTGGTGATTAATAAAGTTTCCAAGAAACTGGAAGTAATTTCCTTTGCCTGATACTGAATTTAGATAGCTACCATATTATTAATAACGGAATGTCTACTTCGATGTGATTGGACAGGGTTTGTTTCAATTTTCTGATAGGGGATTTTACGATTCAATGGTTAGATAGTATTTACACTTTTATATTTTTACCAGAGGGAGACTTTGTACAAAAGTCGATTGCTTGGGTACCTCTATCCCATTTGTGTTTCTACCCTGAAGTAGTTGTGTTTGCATGGCTGTGTTTCGGTTTGAAGGGTGGGATATGGCGTGAATTTACTTTACAGGGTACAGAGGAATAACACCTGAATCCTTAGGAATGGCAATGCATGGGGAGTATCATGGACGAAACAGTATACTCCGTTATGTCCATGGCACTGCTCATGTCTATAGGCGACGGTTACCACTTTCCATCAGGTGGGCCGTCAGCTTGTTTGCCATTTTAAATTGTAAAAAAAAGATACTGCGCTATTATTGTACATATATATATATATATATATATATATATATATATATATATATATATATATATATATATATATATATATATATATATATATATCTACAATATTTAACGTTCGGAAAAATCATAATGTATATTCTTATATTACGAGTATTACTGGATGATTGAAAAAAAACCGTAGTTAACAGCGTGCTTCGAAATAATTTAAATACACAGCATGTTTAGGTAATTTTTTTAGTCCAATTTAATTTTTTAAAGAGATACGAACGAGGGTTTATTATTATATCCTTAAAGTCCTTTTTTCTCTCTTTGCTATTTTTTTTATATAAATCTTTCCCTAAAATTAAAAATTAATGAAATAATCTCAAAAGAAAATCTTCTTTAAAAATATATTTGTTGATATTATATTTTCATGCTTTATTAACATTGCTGTAGCTCTTGAATTGCTTTTTATTTAGTCATTTTGTCTCATTTACATGAAAATAGGTATAGCAGAGTGACGACTGCAATATGGTGCCAAAATATTTAAATGACGATTATTTAAGAATTTGGTCCATAAAACAGCAGTTACTTTGCATTATATAATAGGTACCTATAATCGTGTGTGCGCGTAATCTTACTCCTATTAATACTGTAAATACGAAAGTTTGTAAGTATGGGTTGATAGATGGTTGGGTATTTCAAAAAATTGATAAAAAAATCTCACATTACGATTGACGATAATATCCAAAATCATACAGATTTTATTGAAATTTTGTAAATATTTTATTTATACTACTGAAGTGGCAAATCTGCATCCGACCCAACTGATGGTTAGCGGTTATCGTAGCCTTGTTAGATCCAATTGAGAGAGGATAGTTTTTTACTATAAGAAAAAGTTAATCCGGTATATGGCGGTAAAGGGTAAAATAACGAGTCAGCTATTACATTGCATAAATAATAAAGGACCAGCACGAAAGCAAACTGTATCGATTTTTTTATGAGACTTAGAATGGCAAACAAGCTGAAAGACTACCTGGTGGAATGGTAATGATCGCAAACTTCAAAACAAGTTTTTTTTTTGTTTTAGAATTAAAAAGAGATAATTTTATTATTATTATTGTTTTAGTTGCAATTGTAAACAATCTGGTGACTTGATACAAGGTAGTGGTTAAGGGTGTACAACAGTTACCGGTAAATGTTGTATAACAACAAGCGGAAAGTTTTAAGTTAAGGATATATCCTTAACTTAAAACTTTCCGTTTTGGGAATTTTTACATGACTGCCAAAAAAAAGTGAATGTTTTCAGGGTCCACGTAATGTAAATGTTTTCTAATGTCTATAGGATATAGTATAGAGTTTATGAATCATTCTGAGTAACACTGGCTATAATTTTTTTTTAAAAAAATTCAACAATAGCCATTTTAGTATATATTTTTTAAAAAAAATTCAAGCCGTTTTCAAATGTGAATAATAGAATTTTGTTGTTGTTTTTTTTTTATTAATTATAAAAGCTTGTTATAATTTTACTCTCCACAAAACAACGTCTTATTTTAATTTGGCAGTAAAAAAGAAATAGGATCATTAAGTTATGGTGTTTATAAAAGGTGTTTTGTTTTCAGGCGACTCTAGTCTCTTAATTAATATTTTTTTACTTATAATTGTTATTTCTTTTGATTAAAAATGACTTACTAAACCGATTAGAAGAAAAGAAATTAATGTTGGAAATAATATCATATTACACAAAAAATATATTTGAATTGAGAACCAATAGAAATATTTTTTTTAATAGTTTGAGAAATAAGTATAATTTTAATATTATTAAAATTATATTATTTTTAAATAATTTTAATTAATTGAAATTGAAATCATTTATTTGCTGGAATAAGGTACATTTTTAGGTCTTACTTTACAAGAAAAATAGTCCAATCTTATTCTGCCACATTGTAGGCGTGCAAATATAAAAACTTATTAAACAAAACATTAAAATAAAAACAAAGGTACTTACCAAATAATATAGTGTAAAGTTTAACTTGGTTTGTGAATGTAAGAAATAGTCCATAAATTGAAACTAAATGCAGAGACAGTTGCACTATAAGATCTGGCCATTTAATTTTTGGCCTAAATTCCATGGCCTCATATTTGCTTATGTCGAAGTCTGTTTCACTGTTTATTTTGTCACTAGCACTCTCTCGTAACACTGAATTGTTATTATCACAGCTGTTCACACAATTATCACTTTTATAATCACTTGATATAAGTCTCATTTTTAGCTGAGAATGTGGAGGTGCGTCGCATGCGTCGACGTTTTGTTGTGTTGGAGCCATTCTGAATAATAAATAGAATATTATGTTAGAATTTATTTAAGTTAATGTACCATATCATTTTCTAGTATTATCTATATGAAGATAAATTTAGAAAATGTTCAGTAGTTTTCGGTTAGAGATTGTAGATAAACTACATGTATGCATAGCATGGCATGGCATGACCTAGAAAATATAAATTAAAGTTACCACAAAGTTTTAGTTTATTTTATTAGATTGAATTCGATTTCGAAAATCCCAGTATACATATAAGTTCTTTTACAGTAAAAATTACCAAAATCTTAGCTGTTTATCAGTGCCATGTTATATCTAGTGCACTGGGTAGTAGTGCACTTATATTTGATGTAAAGGCATTATAATACTATACATACAATTTAGTTAAGAATAGATTTGCTCCCGACCATTAGCGTATATTATCATCGGTTTTCTAAAGCATCAGTAAATTTCTAAAGTATTTATATATTTAGGTACATTGGTAGATATTTAAAACTAATTCTATGTACAGAATTTGTAATTTTTCTACGATAAAAAGTAAGTTAAACGATGAAAATAAAATAGTAAGTTTTGTAAGAAGGCGGAAAAATGAATGTTATTTTGGTTGTTGAATATTGCATGTGGCCACGTGTGATACTTATTACAATTCAAAATATTTTTAGTTGAATTTAAATGTGTTTGTGTTTTATGTAGTGGCCTATTGATACCCAAGTAGATGTTCTGTTAAATAAAAATAAATTTGCATGCTAAGCAGATTTAATTATGGAGTTATATAAGGATGGATTAAAAACAGTTGGGACCTGGCGTAAAGATAAATTAACAAATTACAAAGCTTTAATATTTATAAATAAATATAGTAAATAGAAAGTAATTTGACATATTTTGTAGAGCATTATATATATATATATATATATATATATATATATATTAAACCCCATTACCAATTCCTTTTACCCCAATAAATATGTATTGTGTATACATGTAGGGCACAGTAGAAAAAAATATAATTCGAAACCAGTGAAAGTACTTAATTTATAAAACTGAATAATTTGAATAGGTTGGAATAGAACAAAAAACAGAATTATATATATATATATATATATATATATATATATATAGTAATAACCCTCATCCAAATTTACTTTTAACTTTAAAACGATTAGTGGATAATTAATCTAGTTTATATTACTGTATTTGTGCCAAAATTTTTAGTGTTTTTAATATTTGGCGCAGCATACAGTCTAAATAGTTTAATAATGGGAACGAGGGAGTGGATCATTAGTAAAATTTCTTAGCCCGTCTCTTTTCTAGCAATACAGAATATAGCAATAGATTTGGCTGACTTAGAAAGCGTTATGTTATGATGAGTCAAATGATTTGAATATAATTTCTCCCTGGAAACTATCGTGACTAATTTATTGTTGAATTTGTCCAGTGGAAAGGCAAGTCAGAAAGTATGAATACATTAATTTATAAAACGACCTAATAGAACTGATAGTCCACATTACTAATAAATAATCCCTTTTCCCCATGCCTAACTGCAGTTGGCAACTCACTTACTAAGCGTGGTAACTATATAATAGTGGTTTTTGGTTTTTTAATGGACGATAAAGGGGATTCAGCGGACAGTTAACGGCTGATACAAGATAAAAAATATAAATTCTATTCTTATTATAAACTGGCTAAACTTATTTCACAGTCGGGCTTTTTATGATATAATCAAGCCCATTTTATGTTATATTGTTATTAGAAAAAACATTGAGTTTATTAATAAAGCAAAAAATATAACTGGTCAAAAGTAATCGATGATTTTTACGAGTTAAAATTTACTTTTATGTTTTTATTAATGTACGAAAAGAAATTTCTTGTGTAGAAGTTATTGTTTTGTGTTTCCATCGAAGTAATCTTATCTGAATGATTACATGTTCCTAATAAATGCATACTAAAGGGGAGATGGCATTACTCAAAAGAGGTAGATAATAGAAATTCTTTTATATAGGATAAATATCGATGTGTCCGTCCGTGCGCAGTTAACAATCCTTATTTCCTTGTCGTATATTTCAAATATCTTTTACCTAAACAGTTTTCATAATAATATACAGATTTACGGTTTTTTTTGGTAGAATATTTTGTTATTTTTTTTTTAGAGAATGCTATCTATTCAATAACAAATTGATGAAGAAATATTTATTAGTTATATTTATAGACCATAATCTCTGAAAAATATATTTCATATTTAAACTGTAGGAATATTTTTTATGCATTTTGTAATCAACCACTTCAAATCTTATTCAAATCTAAACTGGGGTTAGTTTATCTTATAAATATTTTGTTACCTACTTCATTTTTAAGTGTAAACCAATAAGTTTAAAAATATCATCACTATTATCAGCCTACTGCAGTCCACTGCTAGAATTAGGCCGTTTTCAAAGCATGTATTAGAAAGGCAATTTATTATTATTTTTTATAATATATATATATATATATATATATATATATACTGGGTACTACGTAATACTAACTTTACATGTATATGATATAATATATTCTTTAGCTATATAAAGATTGTAAGCCTTTTAGTAATAAATAGAAATGAAGCACAAGTTCACTTCGTTCATTTAATTTAGATATCATACTATTAAATCATATAACATAACATAAATACCCAACTTCTGTTAATCCATTAACACTAATCCGTTAACACTTATTTAACTATAGCTTCTTTAGGACTTCCATCAACAATAATTGTGATATATTTTATATAATGACCACGTGTTTTACTATACTTGTTCACTCTTGATACGGCAGGGAGCTCCGTTCTGTTCAACGGTTGGACAAGAAATGCCTCCCCACTCAAATTACAATCTACAAGGCCGAATTCGAGTGAAAAAGTGAGCGAGACCACGTGTTCTTACAATTTCATTACTTTTTATTCAAGTATCATGACAATAAATAATTATAAAGTTAATTAAAATATCAATTAGTGTTCTATATACATTACTAGAATAATTTATTACCAAATTTGGTATAATAACAATTTTAACGTTTTATTATATTTAAAGTAGTTAGTCTGATTTTTATTAATAAATGTAGGTACACATTTTGACACAAGATGTTTAAGAACATTAATAGATATAATTTAAAATAAATATCTAACACACGCCAGTGAGCATGATCTTCGGTTCTTCATTTCCAATTTTTATCAGCAATTCTTCGTTTGTTGTTGCTCTATCTAGCCACAGCTCGTTCTATACTACACTTGCCGGAACATGGTCACCACTTCAGAATTCAGAGATTCGGGATGCCACTTTTACGGCAGATATGACCAATTCACTGCCATTTCAGTGACTGCTGAGCTATATCGGTAATTTTGGTCCTCTGTCGAATTATTTCGTTCCGAATTCGTTCCATCACTCGTTGAGCGACTATCAGTAGGTGGACTAGTCTTATCTCTAAGTACTCACATTTCGATACCGTGTATCATGACAGGTATATTACATTTATTATATAAGTTTAAAAATATATAAATAGACTAATATTTCAAATATTGTGGATTTTTGTTTCTTCTTCTTTAGTTTCTTTTTTCAATTGTAATCATAATTAAAAATATTATAAACAACGATTTTTCTATATTATTATATAGCACATGTAATAATGTTTTACGTAAAATGTTAAAAATGAAAAACCACTGCGGAGATTTCGATATTGAACCTGTATTAAACTCAAGTAAGTCGTTCAATATTAAATTATCAATCAACATAGGTCTTCGTTAAAATTCACAATTAATTTCTCTACTTAATTTTGGCGAAAAAACAAACTCCTATATATACTATATTTGAGTTAGATACCTATACGACTTGCTTACAATATAAATTCCTTGTAATATAATTTACAATAACATTTCTATTATTTTGTATTAGTCATTTCACAGGTGTTTCCTAATATAGGTTTATCTTATCTATAGACTTTTGACAATTTATCATTATAACAACATATAATCTATTTCTTATACTATAAACTACATGAAAAATTCGTATATTAAACCGAAATATAATAATAAACAAATATCAGGTACGTAATAACAGATGTTGATCATCATCAAAAAACATTCTGCTAGATATCTGATAGATTGTTGATGATGATTTTGCAGATAAATATAGTATTTACTGGTTTATTTTTTAGGTACGTGAAGCAAATGAAAAATTGAGGTTTAATAACACAGATCCGAGTCTTGTCAATGTTTGTAAGGACGGCAAAGAAAATTATGATGTATTTAAGTTACGAACATAGATAATGAGCATAGAAATTAATAGGTAGTATCATTACGTGAAGAGGTAACAATGTTCCGATGTATAAATAAGAACTATTGAAAACTGTATACGTTTGTTCTAATTATTCTGAAACTTGTGTGAAAAAGGTCTTTCACGATTTCCATTATTTGTTCACTAAACATTAATACAAGTACGAATATCTGAATTAACAACGGATTGTTAATTAGAATGATTAAAAAATACCTTGAGAGATCTTTGAAAAGTCCGTAGTAGTCATAGTTTTTATTTTCCATTAGTAATAGTTTCGTTTCAGAATGTTTCAAAATTTGAATACGTGTGTTATTTTTTGTATATCTATTAGTTACTACAAAAACACTGTCACTACAGTCATGCAAAACTCATACTAATATCTATACAAATATCTTAAGTGCAATTTCAACTGACCGATCGACCTTCGCTTCTAAAACTGTACAATTTTCTATCAATTATTCTTGAACTTTTGTGAAATCGTTTCAATTTAGTTACAGTCGCGCTTGCATTTCGTCACATTGTGATTATTTTTATTTTAATATTTACATACTTTGAAAGAGAATTTCGGATACGAAACCCCTTGTTATACTGCTAAAATTTTTGTTTCCATTGGACATTCCATTGGATATTTATCGTAATAGGGCTCGGTTTTATTAAATAAATAAGTAAACATATTTTTTGTTTAAGTTAACTTAATTATAAGCCTTTTTATAGAGTAATTTTTTATGAAGTTACCGCCTAGTTCTGAATGTAATTTCAGCTAAGAAGAACGGACAAGGAACTTAGCTGTTGCTTACCATATAATTGTTACGATATAAATATTGTTACAACAGGAGAGTAAGATGTAAAACACTATTATATTTAGATTAGTATTATAGTTTTTCCGATAAAAGGGGCCCCAAAAATAATTAAAAAGGCAAGTCACAAAACTACATTAATGTCGGAAGACAAGACCTATTTGATAGTACTCGTATGTAATTGGGAATAATGAAATCATTAAGATGTCACGTTATATATCATTACGGTGCACATTATTATGCATATTGTCAGAATTATAATATAATAATAATAAATAAAATGCATCTTTGTAAATTTGGCATATATAGTTGTTTAAATATATGTAGTTAATGTGTGGTGACGGAGTAAGAATATAATGTATAATCACTCATTCCAACCCCAGTATTTCACATGGTCAGTATAGTAATAGGCTATATCTTCTTCCACAGGAAAAGAGGCAACCGTAACAAAAACAAATATTCATATTTGTTATGTAACCGATATGACTATAGTTTAAAATTATCAAGCACAATTCTATATCAATTGTTAGATGTCACTTTTTGACGGCGCATTTGGGCTAGAAACGGATACATCATATTTTTTATCTGAAATTATTTCTTTATTTCGAACTTTTCTATTAACAGTTCAGAAATTTGATGTAAATAAATAACACCATAGAAATATATTATTCATATTCATTCTATAATAATAGATAGCGAAATCGTATCTTGTTTTAAAATAAACATTTTCCTTTTATCTTACTAATATAAAAAAAAAGTAAAGGATGACTGTATATGAGAGATAAGAAAAAATAACATGAGGGGTTTAAATGAGACCAATTGATGCTAAAACAATCATTTTTAGAAATTTAGTCTTTTTGTTTATTTTTTATGCGACTTAGAATGTCAAACAAGCTGACGATTTGTTTGTTTGTTCCAGTACTACGCAGAAACAACTGCACTAAATTGAATGCAGTTTTCATAGTTAACAAAAATTGGTTGTGTTTATTATTTATCTTTGTTTCTTTAATCTCATTTCAAGGTTTCGATCTATATAGGTACGAATTAACAAACCGTTGTTGAAGCGAAACGTTCAATCTGAGTTAAAGCAATTAGAAAATAGGCGTGAAAATAAGCCGGTGTAGAATGGTCTTAAAAAATATAACGATGAATAATGTAATCACGTAGATTTAGCTCTGCGACCAGTTTTTTGTTCCACAGAGAAAAACGGCTACGTCCATCATCACAACACAGTTGTAGGTCATTTGGGCAACTGAGCGACTCGTCCTTGCTATTTGATACGGGTGGCGAGTCATTTTGAAGTAGCGGAGATAGAGTTTGGGATTTTAAAGGCATATAATAATTCCTTATATTGTCTCATTTTTGCTATTGCACTACTACTGCCCACTCACTACTTTCTATGCCATTGCGTTAGGTTGACTAGAAGAAATCTCTTCTCGAGATAAGTTCGCCTTTGCTAACATTGTTATTAATTTTCTATCCTTATATAGTACGTGTATACTAAATTTGTAACAAAAAACAAATGCATTTTCACATTTTGTATGTAAGTGCATATAAAACAATCACATACAATGTTACAAATTGACATTGAATGTAATGTAAAACTTACACTTATATATGTATAAGAGGTCTAGTTAATATTTAAGCCATAATTATAAAAGTTTTTAGGGTCCGTACCAAAATGATATGAAGGAATAATTATAGTGTTATTTTATTCTTCCATCTGTCTATCACAGTGCTATATCTCAGCAATTATTAATGTTATCGATATGAAATTTGGAATAGTTTTTTATATTATTTCTATTGCAATATACATAGATTTATTTAATATTATGTATTGCATTAGAAATAATTGAAAAAATATTTTAGTTTCTGTGACAGCAGTTCCAAAATTTCAAAACGGACCTACTAGTTCAAATCGGGTAGCTTTGTTTGTATATTTTAATACTGCTTTTTTTGCTGCTTACTTTTCGACTTATGATAGAAAATGCAAAGAACCCCTTTTCCCCTTTACCTCCAAAGTTTACAAAGAAAAAAATTTGAAATAATTACTGTTTATAAAATATATATGAGCATTATAGGAAAAAATAGAACGAGGTTTCTAAATAGCATAGTTTTTTAGAAATTATCAAATAACTTCCAAAAACAAATTTATGCAGTTTGATTTTGAATCACAGTTATGGCTCAAAATAAATAATGTATGATACCAATATATAAAATATAATAAGGTGATTTTATTTTATATAATCTCATAAATTTTGTATATAATTTTTATCTAAAAAATGAAAATCTATTTAATAACTATTTATGATTTATGAATAGAACTCTTAGTGTGTGAGTTCAACCCGCTCTTGGTAGTTTTTTTTTAACAATGTTATGCTTTTAATGGTTTTTAATTCCATAGACAACTTATTCTATACTTTTTCAACCTGATAATGTGACAATGTTTAATATCTCTAAAACACAACGTAAAGAAAATGCGGAATTTTAATTATGTCAAGTAGGTACATTATTTTTCAATGCATCAATATATTATATGTACAACGAAATGGATGTGTCATACCATAATCATAGAATCGATACAGTATTTCGTCATATTCGCCCTTCAGTGATTGCCTGTACGAATCCTGACAACAATCCGAAATATTATATAGCTCTATAAAAACTTTAATAAGATTACCTACAAGGGTATTTATATTTATAGTGCATTTTATAAAGTATATGTAACCATAAAATTTAGGCTAACTATATAATTTTACTACACTTAATTACCTATCGCTATTGGTATGATTTATTAGTAACGTACTCGAGAAGATGACATCATTTTCTATATTATGTCATGCGCACTGAGTCGGTCGGATCCATCTGATGGAATTTTTATGTTTAAACGTTAATATTACTTTACTTAAATTTCACGTATATAATATTACGTATATACGTATTGAATATTGAAATACCTAAACACACACACACATGATGAATAAATAGATAAATTACAATTTAGTCTAACCTACAGTTCATCGAACCTTAACTCTGTTAAAACATTCTTTATTTCCTTATAGTAATATTTTTTATAGAAAATATGTATCAATAAATCCTTGTGTAATACAATTTGTATGTATTTACCAAATCATATTAAATATTATTGAAGGAAAAATGTATTAAGAGGTATGAAAGCAAGTAAACATTATTATATTATTGAATATCTTACATCTTGTCTGGCTTTTATTGAAATTAACTTGGATATTTTTGAATGGATGGTTGATATCTACATGGTAACAGTAAGTAACTGTTATTTACTATTGTGTAAGTCGTCTCATAATTTTGATTATATATGTAACGCGTTTTTAATTTTTGATAATAATGTTATTGAGGTAAATAACAATAAAATAAAAATTTTATAAAACGAAATAAAAAATATATCTTTTGATAATAATAGATTTATGTAATTGTGACATACTAAATTTCATCTTTCTGCCAGGTCCCTTACTTATTTATTGTATTAATATTAAATTATATTAAATTCTACCTATCGAATTTAACACATGTAGATTATGTCGTTCTGCGTATAAGGTAAATTATTTATAATTCTGTCTTCACCATGTTTTTAAGCAGCGTAAAAAGGTTAGCCGGTAGTTAATAGTTTAATGTTACTAACTATGCAATATTAATGTAGTTAGAATTAATTGGTGTTAAGCATAAGTTTATCTTAATTAAGGCTCTATTGCAACACTTAACCTTAAATTATTTTATGAGCGGTTGACAGTCAAACTGACATCGTATTCAACGACCTTGACACGCTAGTTAAAAGCCGGCAATACGACGTTGTGATCATCGATTATTTTCACACTTTCAAATAAACACATATAAATTAAACAAGAATAACACTGGCTTGAAACGACGAAGTGACACAGTTTCGGGCAAAAAAGTTTCTAAAGACCTTGTCGTTCTGGTCGCATGAATTTGTGCGCGGAAAAGCGGCGAACTAGTCACGTTTTCACTGTGGTGGCGATGACCGGTGATGGGACAGTGGAGTGGGACTAGTGGCGCGCGCGGCGTTCTATGGTGTACTGGTGGTCTGACTCTATGTCCCAACTGATGGGATGGGGTCGGGGCCGACCAAACAGTGCATAAACCTACCTATTCTAACAAATAGAAGTCCGTGACAAGCGTACAACATACGATTCCTACGGAGACAAGTCTCAAGATATTTCGCAAAACTTATGTTTCTCCTCCTTCTCTACAGTTAATGTACTTATAAGTATTACTAATTGAAAAGTATCTGGTATTTATGGCTATCACTATTGAAATACATAATCTCATGTCTTTACATAATTTGTCAATATTGAGAGATTTTGAGTGATGTCGAAGTTCATATTAGAAATTTTTTTTCCTATATATATATAATATGTAGGAAAAAAATAATAATTTAATCAATATTTGCTGCAACGGAACGTAGAATAGGATCGACAGATTGGTTAAAAAAATATAGATTCACTTTGTGCTTTCAGATGTGTGACAGTGTTATTGTAATTTTATTCAATTTTTTGAGAAAGGATTCAAATACACGGAGTAACCAATTTTTGCCCTTGATGCTACATATATATATATATATATATATATATATATATATATATATATATATATATATATATATATATATATCTAATGAGGGAGAAGCATATAAATATAATGCTCATAAAAAGTGCTTACAATGTATTTATAACTGAATCAGATTTAAGTACAAAAGTAATGCAACTTCATAATATACTATTTTCGTCAAATTACAAGTATGTTACTCGTACATCTATGTATCTATCACATTTTCTTTGCTTATATACTACTCATATTACTCTTTTATACATGTAATCACTAACATTATCAGTACTGTAGACTATAACAAGCAGTTAATAACTTGTATAGTATTATTTAGCGCAGCTGTGTTTATTTTGTGACTTATCCTTAGATATTGATGTCATGATGAAGGCGACGATGCGTCACTAGACGGCAGCGGGGCGCGGCGACGGCCCACGCACTCTCGACGCAATCTCCATTATAAACACCAACACAACACTTTTACTGCTTAAGTGTCAACAGGACGTGTTTGGCACACTTAAACTATAGCATCTTAAGCAGTGTCGGAACCATAGAACTTTTGGATGCAGAGCAGAGCAATTGGTTTAGACAATCGAAGAGCACCTTCACACATGTTGCTATATTTTGTTAGTGATTTACTTAATAGTTAAGAAACCTTCAACATATACATTATATTAAGTAGGTAAGATTTAAACAGAATATATTTATTCGTATTTTAATGAGTATGTTTAATGTAAATGGTAAATGTCAATAATGAAAAAATTGTTTCATATCGCTGTCTAAATTAAAATTTTAATGATGTCGGCTTTAATATTAATAAATGAGTAGGTGGACAGGAAAGGGATGTAGAGACATAAGGGTTCTTCTTGCACTTGTTGTGTAGTGAGTGTTATTTAAAACTATTATTGGTCAGGCAGATATTTATGTGCAGAAATTATGTGAAAAATTATTATAGGAGAGTGCAATATATGTAATTTATCCCGACGTTACCGTAGACATCCACGATATTATAATATTATGAACGTGCAGGAAATTTAATTTAATGTCGTAGGTTACCATACGGTATTACCAACAGCAAATTGTAAAAATACTTAAAGCTATAAATAGTATTTACTAAGTACTTTTTTTTTTATAAAATGTACCTAGTAAATAACTAATTTATTATATAAATTATAATTAATAAAACGCTAGAAAACCATTTACTGTAGATCCGCCATTCCTAAAATACATACGTTACTATCTCCAAAAGATTTGAGATCCTTGTTGTCGACATTTCCAGCACTATTAAGTTACGATATCTTCTTGAAGATAGAGTCAAGCTAGCGTTCAAAATGCTCAGGGTGCTTAATAGACGAAAATAGTACTTCACTCCGAGATTATTATAGTACAAGTTGTAAATCCAGTTCCTCATTGAGTACTTTTCTTATCTGTGGCCTGGAACATCTGTATACTAATTCGGTATTCTTGACTTAATTCAAAGATGGGTTATGAGAATTGTTGAAGGTCCTAAGCTCGCAGATGATATCTAGCCCATAAGTCTAAGGCGAGACTTTACATCCCTTTGGGTTTTCTACTGCTTGTATAACGGGTTGTGTTTTAAGGAACTGTTTAAAATGATGCCCAGAGCCACCTTTTATCAATGAACTGTTCGCCATCGACAATAATTTCATCCTCACATGCTATAACCTAAATGGTCGCATACAGTACGGTTTCAGAGGAATTTTCTTCCGTGAACGCTCAGGCTATAGAATGAGCTCCCTGCCGAGGTTTTCTGAAGAGATTAATTAGAGAGTAATATATAGGTTCTGCAAAAAGAATATATTAAGGTCTGTTCAAGTTTGACCTGGCATAAAAAAAGCTGCTTTACCTGAACCTGGAAACATGTACAGATAAGTGTTATAAAAAAAACATTTGTAGCTAGCATTTATGAAATATGTTATCAAATGAACATACAAAGTATCTTTCTCAGCGATGTAGCTATTATACAATAAATAAGAAATATACCGATTGAAAATAGTTATATTTAGTGAATTTTTTAATACATGATGAATAAAATTTTAGTTTTTTTTTTACAACACAGGGGACAAACGAACATGCGGCTCACGTGATGGTAAGTGACTACCTCCGCCCATGATCATCCACAACACCAGCGGCATTGCAGGTGCGCTGCCGGCCTTTTAAAAAGGAATATACTCTTTTCTTGAAAGTTATGTTGTCGTATCGGTTCGGAAATACTGCTGCTGGAAGTTGATTCCAAAGAATGGTTGTGCGTGGAAGAAAGTGCCTTGAAAAACGCACGGTGGAATACCGCCACTCGTCCAGATGATTGGGATGAAACTTTAGTTTGTGGCGGGTTGTACGGTGGTGAAAATCAGAAGCAGGTATCAATCCGAACAATTCCTCAGAACACTCCCCATGATAAATTCGGTAGAAGATGCACAGAGATGCAACATCTCTGCGCAGTTTCAGTGGGTCAAGTCGGACAGTAAGGCGTTGACTATCAATAATTCGAGCCGCCCGACTTTGAACGCGGTCTAACGGAAGGAGTTGATACTGTGGCGCTCCTGCCCATAGGTGAGAACAGTATTCCATATGTGGCCTGACTTGAGCTTTATATAATTTCAGGCGGTGTTTCGGCATGAAATACCGTCTCACCCTATTAAGCACTCCTAACTTTTTGGAAGCTATCTTAGCCTTCTTCTCCAGATGACCGTAAAACTGGGCGTCGCAAAATATATCAACGCCCAGAATTCCTAGACTCGACTTTTTATCAAGGGAAGTGCCCTGAAAGTGAGGAGATACGACAAACGGCGTCTTTTTTGCAGTTTCAAGAAATGGCGATGCAACAGTACCTATACTACATATAGTGTCCTTGGCTTATTATAGAATTTACTTTAGTACCTATCTCTGATGTCCTACATATTTATAGGCAACACTTTTCATTTTTCATTTGAACCATCAACTTAATTGCTATTCCCAGATTTTTATTGAATAAGTGTAACTAAATTTCAATAACGTCAATGTAAGTAGAAATAAAATATGGATAAATATGGGTAGCAGCAGCAGCGTCCCTTTTAAAACGTCTCCAAAGCGCTTGACAATCCGCTTGCCAAGCGTGGCAACTATTGGCAAAACCCCCCAAAGGTGAAGGCTTATGTTCAGCAGTGAGCAGTTAAATATATATGCAGCTGATATGATGATGATGATGAATGTAAGTAATTTTATTTTATAATTAGGTACTTACAAGTTGTTCTTGTATAAAATCGATTATTATTTATTTTAGATTTTATTGATTTTAGATTGCGTTATTCTAATGCAAAGGGATTGTTTCTTCTTCTTCGTTTCACTTACAATGGTTTATAATATGAATACTCCAATTCTTGTAATGTCTGGCTATATTATATTAAATATATTTTCAACGAAATTTAATTAAAATAAACTAACACTATTCATTTATGTTAAATAAATTATGAGGTACAGTTACTATATGTTATATAAGCAACTTTTTGTGGTTATTTCAGGAAGTTAAATAACACATGGACATCTTTGTTCTATAAATTTATTGAAAATTAAATATAAACGGTGATATTATCAAAAGAATCAAATTACTAATTAATTATTTTGTATTTCAAAGTGCCGGGAAGTCATGTCAGAAGATTTTGTATACAACAAAAGTTCTAGAAAATTTACACCAGATGGCGACATACCTACTCACACGAGAAACCTCTTCTTTTCAAACTGAAGGAGTAAAAATGAAGCACTAAAAGGAGGAGGTTCTCAGTTCGCTTGTGTATTTTTTAATGTGTATGTTACACAATATCTTCGGCAATGGCTGTGTGGTCTCGGCATAGAATAGGCCACTCTTTCCTTTCCCGTGGGTGTCGAGGCTACTAAAGGAGGGTGAGGGATGGGAGCAGTGTCCCAATTAAAACATTTGTAAAGGCTAATTGCGGTTGCCTATTGACCTGCCAAGTATAGCAAGTACTGGCAAAATTCCCCAAGAGGGAGGCTTGCGTTCAGCAGTGAACATTTAAATACTGATATGATGACGATGATGATGATCTTCAGCAATAAAAACCATTTTGATTTTTATATTTGGTTTCAATTATGATGATTAATTCTTTTTAAATTTAAGAGGGTTTACTCTTATATTATATTAGTATATGAATTTTGTCATGATTAAAGTTATAATTTTATGTGAAATAAAACATTAAATTACTTTATTTAATTATTAGGTTGGTAAAGGTTAAACAGAAAAAAATACTGATTTCAATAATCGCCTATGCAAATAATAATAGTATTTAATTTGTATTGTGTGCCGCCATACAACGGTCAGGCGCACATGAACCCTTTGACTGTGAAACTATACTGTTGATTACAGTTCTATTAATCTCTCAGTATTATTGTACTTATACAAATATGTTTATTTAACTTATATAAAGAAGTGATATATTCTATTCTTCTCTATTTACTTTGTTTCTACTTCAAACGAATAGATTAGAATGGAATGGGCATCTATTTCATTTTAATATATTATACAAAACTCAAATATCGTTATAACTAAGTAGTTATTAGCTAAATAATTAATATAACTTTTTCGTATTGTTATTATTGTAATGTAAATTTTATTTGTTACTAAAAATATAGTTAATGATTATCGCCTTTGAAACCTCCTGTGTAATGTATAATAGAAATTTATCTATTTCCGGTTGTGACATGATATGAAATTGGCAGGCGCTTTAAATCATTTCATTGCATTGTTATCCTGTCCTCACTAATATAAATATAAACTGTATATAAACTTTTTTATTATTTATTTCTTACTGATGTCCGTATTATTGGTTAATTGATTAAAATTATTTTGTTTAATTCCGCTTCCATTAGTGTGTGTTTGACTGCTAACACTCGAAGATTGATCACCATCATTACAGTCTTTAATCTCTGGCTACCATTTCGTTCACGCAAGAACAAACTAAACAAATTATAAAATATAAATTATAAACTATCTTTTACGATGACTTTGTGCGCGTGGAAATAGGTAAGTTTATATTTTTTTCTACACAAATAACATATATAATTTTCTATAACAGCAAAAACAGTTTACAAAAGATTGCTAATTTGCTAATTGTCACAAAAATAATATTACAAAACATGATTTTTTTAAGAATAAGTAAGCTTAATTCTAAAAAAAAACAGTATTTTAGTTACTTTCCTTTTAAATTTTATTGTTGGTAAGTTTTTAATGGAATCAAACAATACATTATATAATTTTAGAGACATATTATAATTATTTTTAGTAAAACAGGTGGTCCGGCTAGACGGTTAAGAAAACTAGTAGAGAAATTCGCTTTGGAAATCTAGTATACAAAAAAAGAGAAAATTAAATCATACGACTGTCATCATTTTATGGAGAATCAACCAATTTGTTTTAATTTGTTTCAGTGACATCTATTTTTTTTTAATGAACTACATATATGAACATATAGATTATTTTAAATAAATATAAAAAAAATATATTTAATGTTTAAAAATTGCCCATGGAAATATAATACTATTCATTGATAAAGTCAGTTACTGCCTATCTCTTGCAGTTTTATAAATCTCTATGCAGACAATCACAGTGAAAAATTGATTATTGATCATATTTTTCCCAGGGTAAAAAGTTCTGATAAACTTTTGAAAAATTTTCGATATTTTATCGAGTAAGAAAAAAAAAATTAATGAAATAGTATCAAGATGAAATATACACCAGTTTTTAAGTGATACCGTTAGGAACTCAACTGAAAATTACATTCAATTTAGAACAGACATACAATGAGTTAAACAAAGAGGCAAAAATACTAAATTATAAATTTTAATTTGTTTTGATTTCTATTGCTTTTCTTAGACTTCTCACATCAATTTTAATTAATTATCTTCTATGTACAGACATCGTCTAGTTACAATTATTATATTTGTAAAATAACACTAGTGAGAATAGTAATATAAAAATAGAAAGTAAGGTAAGATGTGAAAATGGCATTTTGTTAAAACATCAAGAGGTACTTTTCGTTTTAAGGACTTATACAATGGATATGCAATTTAATATATAGCTACCTATAGTTTAGGATGGGAAAAATCATAAGTAGGTAATTTTTGGCGTACAAAGTATGTAAATACATAGATAGGTGATGTTATAATTAATATTGACAGAATTAAATATTAACAGAGACAATGATGATGTATCTTTATAAGTACTAATAATCTTAGGATCAACATATAAATTACAAATTAAGAAGGTACTTAAGGTAAATATAAATGTCATCATACGCTTTCTGTTTTTACCCAATGGTTAGCTGGTAGAGAATGCCATATGGCATTAAGCTCGCCATTTGTACAAAATTTTATTGTGCAATAAAGAATAAATAAAAATGTCAATAATTAAGTAGCAGCTATTATTATACCATAGATTATTTGTAACGTATATTAAGTACCTGTGGTTTCAATAAATTATGGCATAGCAATTAACACTAATTCTATCTATCAGATAAAATAAAAAAGGAAACTATTTTTTCTTCTAAATGCGTATAATTTGTTTTTTCTATTTATCATTATAAAAAGGAAAGATTTGTTTGTTATGAATAAACTCAAAAACTTAACTGAGTTTAAAAATTCATTAACCATTAGAAAGTTACATTATCAGCGAGTAATATGGGTACAATAATGTAATTTTTTAAAATTCTGTCTATCTGTGCGAAGCCAGTCCGGATCGTTAGGGGGGAAGGGATTGTTAGTAATAAGGAGTTTAGTTCCCATTGCTATCAATATACCCTATCAGGTTGACCTCCACGCGGTTTCTCCTGGAAACTATTGTGACCAATTTATCATTGAATTCGTCACAATGGGCTAACTGACCTGCCTTTTCATCCTCACCTATCACCGCTCACTGGTACCCCGCTAGTGTATACTGATAGCGCAAGCGGGGTTACCATGCCATTTTTATGCATAAAAAAAAAGTCCGGATCGTTAGGTATCTATATTCATATTACAAAGAGGGAGGATTTGATTATTTGTTTGTCATTGATAAATTTAAACTACTCAATCGTATAATAAGGTATTATTTTCGAAAAT